TTTATTTGTGATGTCAGGCACCCGAAGGGGGGTAGCCTTGCAAAACTTGAAAATCGCATTCTTCAAGAGGTCTTTGGTAAAGAAATCCTTACTTTCTGGAGGCCTGCAGTTTCGCCGGCAGCAGAGCTTTCCTGATCACTGCTTCTTCCAAACCCACAAGCACCACAGGCAGAGCTTTCCTTATGATTGCTGATCCAAACCAGAGCCGGACGCCGGCGACCGGCCCTGCTAATCAGGACCCCAAAGCTTGCTCCTTTATTTGTGGTGTCAGGCACCCCAAAAGGGGTAGCCTTGCAGAACTTGAGAAATCGCATTCTTTAACAGGCCTTTGATAAAAGAATTCTTACTTTCTAGCAGAGCTTTCCTAATCACAACCACCACATGCAGAGCTTGCCTTAGGGGTGGAGGGGTGGAGAGGAGTGAGGTGAGTGGAGGGGTGGAGGGTGGAGGGGTGTGAGGGGTGGAGGGGTTTCTTATGAGTACGTAATGAGTTCATTTGGCAGCGAGCCTCCCGCATGCAGGTTCGAAGCAATGAGTACCGTGGTTCCTGAGGCCAGAGTGAGCCGAGGTCAAGCCAAGGCGAAACCATCGGCCAAGAAAAAGCCGTTGAGCTTGGGCAAGATGGCTAAGAAACAGCAGAAGAGATCGCAGATGATGAAGGCGGGAAGCAAGATTCCCAAGAATGAGGATCCGCCGGTGCCTTTGCCTCCGCCGAGTGAGGCCCCTCCGTTGGCGGATGGGGCCCTTCGCCCATCAGGGACATGGCGAGTGATAGATGAGCGAGCAGGCACAAGTGTGTTTGGGCGATCAGGTGAGATCCTGGGTGAGTCGACTGAGAATTACCACGTGCTGCTTGGGGTGTGCCCGCACATGGGGGGCAAAGAGAGGAAGGAGTGGGTGAGCAAGCGCTATGTCGTTGAGATTGGCAAGGACGTGAAGGCATACAAGTGGCAGCAGATGAGCTTGAGCCGGCACTGGAAGCAGGAGATCCTGGGTGAGATGGGTTTGTTGAGCGAAGACCTGGACCTGCTGGGGTCCCTGGATGAGGTCGATGAGCTGCCATTGAAGATGCCAGCTGGGGGCATCAGCCTCCAGCACATCCATCTGGGCTGGGCCCTGATGAGATGGCAGCTGGAGAAGAGTGGGCATACGCATGAGGAACAAGCCAAGACAATGAGTTTCGTGAGCCCTGGGTGGACCCAGCCGCTGTATTTAGCCCATGAGGAGCCACGGATTGATGTGGATGAGTACGCAAAGGTAGTGAAGAAATTGATGAGTGAGCACAAGCTTTGTTTTTTGCCATTGGGCTCGCATGGGCATTGGGTTCTGCTGGTCGTTGACCGGCGATCAGCACCGATGAGCATCAGGTCCCCCACATGACACTTGCAGTTTATTATACTATGCATATATATATGTATATATATATATATATATATATATTAAACATATATATATATATATATTAATCTTATATATATATATATATATAAACGTTTTGTATGGTATATATAAATATGGAATATAGTAGAAGCCAGAAAGTTGGAACATGGCTTTAGGAGGATTAGTGCTAGAATCCCTTATACTTTACCTTAAGGGCATGAGGAGTCTGATGTTCCAACTTTCTGGCTTCTACTATATGCCTTAAATTATAGAGTGAATGTAATGAGGGACCCTAAAGCCTTCCCATGAGGTACTACGACAGCCTGCCTGATGAGTCGCAGCAGTGCCGTGAGTACGCGGCGAAGGTCCTGGCGAGCCTGCTGAGCCTTGGATTGGTGGATCAGGCAGAGCTTCCTGAGAGGATGACAAAAGTGCATCAGGGAGCAGATGAGTGTGGGATCTTCTTGCTGGCGAGCCTTGAGCGGGAGGCAGCTGAGGCCATGGGCCATGGCCCGGCTGCCACTGGCTGGCCAACATGGGCAGCGAGCCGATGGCACTTTGGTTATAATTAATTAGTTGAGTACTTATGTATTTCGTTGCTTTTTAAAAATAGAACATACGTATTTTTTAATAGTATCCCAACCCTGACCCAGGCATGAGAGGCTCCATAAGGGGAGCACCGGCTTGAAGATTGAGCAGAGCAAGAGGATTGGGGAATTGCAGAAGCATCATGAGACTTGGTTTTTTCCGATTGTGTAGTACATAACTTTTTGAAGTATTAAGGTAAAAGCCAGAAAGTTGGAATATGATTATCCTAACCCTTCTATGGTAAATTATAGGGTATCCTACCATGAAACCATATTCCAACTTTCTGGAGCTCGCTGTAGGAAGTAGGCAAGTAATTTGTACTCAAGTAACTTGAAATTGGTAGAGAGTAGGTGGTAGGTACTAGGTAGTACTGCTGATGATCTAAATCCTGCATTACCCATAATAAGGAATATACCATAAATTCCATAGTCTACGGCCCTTAAGGTCATGCAGGATTTATATCATCAACCGTAGGAAGTAGTTTAGTAATTAGCGGTCATAAGTCAGCCAAGGAGAAGCTGATCGCCCAAGGTGAGAAAGCCAAGAAGGAGCGTGAGCACTTGGCTGAGGTCGCCGCAAAGCGGATGATGAAAAACCTTGAGCTCAATGAGCTCCAAAAGAAAGCTTATGAGCTGGTGCATGACGGAGGGCCGATTCTGGAATCAGAGCTGCCCGATGAGTACCGCAAAGAAGCTCTTAGGATCAAGCTGTATGAGATAGGCGTTTGCAGCAAATGCAGACACACCTCAGGATGTCTGCGCTGCGATGAGTCCAAATGCTTGGCCTACTACATGAGACTTGAAGCCAAAAAAACTGGCCGGGTCATCCGAGATGAGTACAAGCTCTGAGCATGAGGCAATATGTGCCTTTCTCATGTGCTTGAAGACATGAGCGCCAGATCTGAGCATGAGCCAAAATGAGCCTTTCTGAGGTGCTTGAGAACTTAAACACCCAACCCCAAACCCTAAACACCCAACCCCAAACCCAAAACCCTAAGCCCTGAACCCGAAACCCCGAACCCCAAACTCAAAACCCTAATTAAACCTCGAACCCTATTTTACCCTAAGTCTTTTGCGGGGTGACTTTGGGTGGTTTGGGTTGGGGATTTCTAGCTGTATGGGATTTCAAGAGGGGGTTCTGCCTAATTGTGTTTTGGGTTCTGAGCCTTGTTTAATTTGGGGCCTAAACCCTACACCCTACTAAGCTAGCCACCTAACCCTTAGAATTACCCTAATTGACAGCCTATACTTGAATGGGGTGACGTTAAAGGTGTTTGGGTTTAGGATAACTGGGGGGGAAGTAATTCTAAAAATTATTGGGGACTGTAAACAACGATCTTCTCTAATCTGAGAATTGTTCAGGGTCCATAAGAAGGGTTGGGTGGTGTGGGGTCCTAACTAACCAGGGGCTGTAAGCTAAAAAATTAATTAGGGGGTTCTGGTTGCTGTGAGGGATTAGACCCTTTTTAATCAGGGGGTTATCTTTAAGAATTATTCAGGGTCCATAAGAAGGGTTGGGTCGTGTGGGGTCCTTACTAATCAGGGGCTGTAAGCTGAAAATTTAATTAGGGGGGTGCTGGTTGCTGTGAGGGATTAGACCCTTCTTAATCAGGGGGTTATCTTTAAGAATTATTCAGGGTCCATAAGAAGGGCTGGGGGCTGTGGGGTCCTAACTAATCAGGGGCTGTAAGCTAAAAAATTAATTAGGGGGGTGCTGGTTGCTGTGAGGGATTAGATCCTTTTTAATCAGGGGGTTATCTTTAAGAATTATTCAGGGTCCATAAGAAGGGTTGGGGGCTGTGGGGTCCTAACTAATCAGGGGCTGTAAGCTAAAAAATTAATTAGGGGGGTGCTGGTTGCTGTGAGGGATTAGACCCTTTTTAATCAGGGGGTTATCTTTATGAATTATTCAGGGTCCATAAGAAGGGCTGGGGGCTGTGGGGTCCTAACTAATCAGGGGCTGTAAGCTAAAAAATTAATTAGGGGGGTGCTGGTTGCTGTGAGGGATTAGACCCTTTTTAATCAGGGGGTTATCTTTAAGAATTATTCAGGGTCCATAAGAAGGGTTGGGGGCTGTGGGGTCCTAACTAATCAGGGGCTGTAAGCTAAAAAATTAATTAGGGGGGTGCTGGTTGCTGTGAGGGATTAGACCCTTTTTAATCAGGGGGTTATCTTTAAGAATTATTCAGGGTCCATAAGAAGGGTTGGGGGCTGTGGGGTCCTAACTAATCAGGGGCTGCGAGCTAAAAAATTAATTAGGGGGGTGCTGGTTGCTGTGAGAGATTAGACCCTTTTTAATCAGGGGGTTATCTTTAAGAATTATTCAGGGTCCATAAGAAGGGCTGGGGGCTGTGGGGTATCCTGTCTAATTGGGGGGACATTTTATTTATTTCGGGTTCAACTGAAAGTCAATCAAATTGTTTCTGTGGATGGAACGAGCCTGTCTAATTGGGGGGGTTGTTTTTTCAATTTTTTATCCTTATTTGGGGTTCAATTAAAACACATACAAATCTGACCCCAACACCCGGCCCGTGCCATTCTATTCAGGGGAATTTCCTAATCAGGTTCCTACATTAGGCAAACTACCCCTTATGGCCTCTGTTTGTTGACGCTAATTTACCGAACTACCCACATGTCTGCTTGCTTACTTTCTAAGGCGTGTAGAATACTATAGGGGCCTAAGTAAGTACCAATACTGTTTTGAGGGTTCCTGATTATGATTATAGTATAATACACCCCATAACCCTATTCTAAGTATTAAGGCCCCTATACTAAAACATCTGCCGGAACTCGCACGCCCCAGCGGCTCAAGGAATTGTACACTAGCTACATTGGCGGGCTTGTTTGTTAACTATACTTCAGCTTGAAGACACTTTACATGACATGTCTGCAAAGTGCCGTACCTGTATCCCCAAAACCTACCGCTTGAACGTACAAGGTTGTCAAGATCGTATGCAGGCTTTCGGGGGTATGGGTCAAAGTATGTAGGGTTCCTTCGTCGTACTTGTGATGGATGGAGAGAATTCGAGCCGCATGTCTCCGGCGCTTCGGCATGGAATTCGAGCCTACACCACGTTGCAGGCCACCGCCTTACACGAGTCAGTTCCCCCAGACCGCTGGTGCATCACCCGGGCAGACCTAAAGTACCTGGGCGAGGAGGTGTGGAAGGCTATCCTAAGTGGGGAGATCCAGCAGCCAGATGATGGTAGTGACGATTTTCAGGTCCTTGACACCACGTATGGTCCAAGCATCTACACAGTGAACAAGCAGCACATCATGCCTGTGACGGAGAAATATGGTAAAGTGAGCTGGGCGTTGTTGCTACATCCGGATGGTTTGGATTGTGACATCTTCATCAGCCATGCATGGCAGGAGGGTGTGTTCGAGTTTCTCTCGAAGGTCCTGCATTCTTGGCCTGTGGATGCGCGACATGCCTGGTGCTGCATGCTCGCCAACCCTCAGAATTTGGACATCGGTTCCTTGCTGCAGTCTCCGATCAGCTCGCCGTTTGCGCTGGCACTCAAAGCCTCAAAGTACGTTCTTGTGGTGCCAAATCACCGCGGCAGCATCTACACCAGGCAGGGTCGTTTTCGAAACGAACACGCCGGCTACTGCGTGCCAGAGAGTGTGTGTGGATGTGTATGTCTATTAGATATGGTATAGGCGATGCAATATTGTACACTTTCTGTAGTTGAACCAGCGCATCTTTATTTGTGCGCATACACATGCAACTATGCGTCTACTTGGTTATATTCGCTGGTTGAAGTGGTAGTTCTTTCATGTCTTATATATGTATGTGTTGGTGTGTTGTGTATGTGGTTTTTTCGGTTAGTGTTCCTTATCAGGTGATGTGCTGTTGTTTGCACAAGTCTGCGTGTATGTTCGCATGCAATCATACCAAACCAGGGCTGGATGGTTAGCCGGATGGATGGATGGACAGATGGACGGACGGACGGAGGGATGGAGGGATGGGGGGATGGAGGGATGGAGGAAGGGACGGATGGAGGGATGGAGGGGTTCATGGGTGGATGGGTTGATGGGTGGATGGACGGAAGGACGGAAGGATGGGTGGATGGATGGATTGATTGGTCTGTGGGTTTGTGGACTTCTGGATGCCTGGTTCGTGCAAGTGCATCTATGTGTGACGTGTGTCTGCCTAGATGTTTGCTCGAAGCGTTTTGCTGAGTTGGCTATCCATCAGCAAGACCATGCTAGGCCCTAAACCCTAAGCCCATGCAATTCCAAGGTTGTGGTGTGGCTACGAAGCTTACCGGGCCCAAGAGGAGGGCAGGACCATCATCCTTGCCCGAGCATCAAACCACCAGCAGCTTGCCTTCGCCCTGTTGCAGGTGTTTCTGGCAGGACTGACAACGGAATTGGCTTGCTGTGAATCTAAATTGTCGAAGTTTGCAATTATAATGCTCGATATCTAGATCTTGGGCCGCAGTTCCGAAGGGGGGTGGTCGGAGTGGGAAGTGGCTAGCACGCCATCCCAAGCCATGCTCAGCTAGAGGTTTGTTCAGGACAGGGGTTATTGAGGTCTTCTGGTACCATGCCCTTATTGTGACGTCATGGTAGCTTTGTGGCGTAGTGAGTTTCAGATTAGGGACCCAAAAAGCACATGAGCATAAGCATTTTATGGGGATATCCCTATCATATTGGGCTACATTATGAGAGGGGTTTATATGGGATATCCCTATCCTTTTTTTTGCTTATGTGCTTTTTGGGGGCCCTATCAGAGTATACCGTCGAAAGGTCGACCTTGAATAGCAGGATCCTTCGTACAAGAAGCTTCGGAAAAGAGTCGCACTGTAATGGGTTTAGGGTTTAGGCTATATATCTTCCGTGGCAGCCTAGACCCTAAGCCCAACAAATCGAGAACTGTATGACTAAACCTTGAACCCTTGACCCTAAACCGCCAAAAAAAGCGGATTGAACCCTATAAGCCTAGGAAGCCGCTCGATCCTCCTGGCAGGACTGGTCGGCCTTCTATCAGGCTGGATGTTACTCAGCTACAGCGGGTGGCCTGCTCAACATGATATTCGGGGTTTCCAGATTCCTGCCCCTGATGTGCTGTTTAATTTTTAAGTTAGGATTTAAGTAGAATTACATTGCACACACCGTGTATCCCGAAGAGAGCACTAAGGTGGCAAGTGCCGCTGCTACTGTCCGTTGCCGTGGGCGCGGTGTCCATCAGTGCCACTATTAACCATGACATCTCCCGCAAAGCCCTGAACTTGACGCTTGGGTGCTGAATAGGAAACACTTGCGCACAGGGCTAAACCCGAAAGCGCTGCTCTTGTACTGGTAGACTTGAAGCTTGAGCCTGTGGCTTGAGATTTATTTTCCTCTAGGGTTTACCCATTAAAGTCTGAACCTTGGGTCCACTACCTCTGCTGGGTTCTTCGCTTTGGCTTCTTTGTGTGCGTGTGTAATTCCTCCTCGTAAACCCTTAGCCCTTAAATCAGGAGCCAAAAAAGCACCCAAACATGAACTTTCGGGTGGGATATCTCTGTCCTGTTGGCTTAATCGAAGAGGGGATTAGAAGATATCGCAACCTTACGGTTTTTGTTTGGGTCCTTTTCTGGGTGCCGATTAAACCCTAAACCCTAAGCATTCAATCCCAAACCTTAACCCCTAACCTTCACCTGAACACGAAGCGGCATACACCTTGCCTTAAAAATCATAACCTTCCTACCATGAACACTGACATAAATTTAGGGACCCCGCAAAAATCAAGCTTTTTGGCAGCTCAAGGTAAACCCCATACATCCCCAAGCTTCCCGAACCTGGATGGCGTGCACAGAACCGATAAACCACCTTGGCTTCAAGTTGTAGAATCCTTGTAAGACGTAAAAAATGCTAAAGATTCCCAAATCCAATATCCTCAAGTTTATGAATACCTATAGGCTCCATCGTAGTTCCTTTTTGGGATTACCTTATAGAATTCTAAATATGAACCCCAAAAAGGAACTACTCTGGAGCCTGTGGGTACCGATACAATCCTCAACCCCGAACTTATAATCAGACCCAAGCCGCAGCCGCAAGCAGAAGTAAAAAGCACGTACTGATTAAAGACTTTAAGTTTGCACCCTCAACGGTGGTAACCCTAGGTTTGGGGTCCCAAATGCCCCTATTAGGGGCCATATTCCATGGTTTATGGACCCAAACCCAAGGGTACAAACCCTAAGGGTACAAAGGGAAACTTTTTGAACTGAATCACACATCTCATAGAGCCTACCAAGCTCTCAAGCACGACACCTCTACACTATCTTAAGGCGTAAGACTGTACAAGGCTTAAGAAACAGAACTAGTATGCAGAGGTCGGAATCTTCACGAGTAGTATTGCTCTATAGGCCGGTGTATAACTATAGTATGACATGTACCCTGCCCAAAAATACATTTTAGTTAGAAAGACCCTACGTCAATACAGAACGCTTCTAGATCCCTAGTAGAGGAAACTGTTCAACATCGATTTGGGAGTTTCCGAAAACAAGGGGTACCTTATTTTGGGGTCCTTATTATAGGGATCCTACTATTTGGGGTACTATATTAGGGTCCCCTATTTTCGGAAACTCCCATTTGCTTGGAGGATCGGTGCTTTGACCTGCGGCATTATCTGCGCCAACTGGAGAACGCTGTCATCCACATGCTTGTACTCCTCAGCCTCCTTGCCGTTCGTAGGCGCGCTTCTGATTGGGTGTGGGAGCCCATAGAGTTGGAGGTTTAGGGGAGCAGATAGCCGCTAGCCATTTACATATGTTCAGTATATGTATATATATATATATCTGTTTGTATGTAACAATGTATGTATGTATGTATGTGCAACTTAAGCATGTTCAACATAAAATAAGCCCTAAACCCTAAACCCCTATTGTTTTCTTACATCCTGCCATGGTTGGAAGACTAAACCTCTGTTATTCCGGGATCTGAGCGGCCAGGACAGCGGCAACGTGTCATCAGCACCCTGAGCTTCTAGGTCCGGTTTGGGGTTTTAGGGTTCAATTAGGGTTCGGGGTTTAGGGTGCAGTTAGGGGTTTGGGGTTTAGGGTTCTGATTCTAGGTAGGCTTTTGGTATTTTGCTGATTTCACCTTGTTCGGTTCAGGGTATGCTAGTTAAGAGCATGTCTGACAGCTCTGCACTCTACAGAGCCTCACTAAGGCTTTTTCCTGAGCGTGTTCTTGGAGGTTGACCGTGCCAACGGAAAAGCTCGAATGGGCGAGGCCCGTCAGCTAAGCCATGGTATCCAGGTTCCCATAATACCCTTTTACTCCGTATTTTGTCTTGGCATTTCCTTCTTGAGCCTAAGTCATGGCAACAGAGGTGCCGTTACCTTCGAGGGGTTATCGGGGAACCTGACATAGCAAATTATGAAGACGTTATACAGATCTGTCACAGGCTAAGCAACCTTTCCCAAAGCCGCTCACTTAAGATGCGTATAAACAGAGCCCTCCAGAAGCCCCCAGCCTTTGCATCCCCAAAGGGTCCACGTATCATTATGGTATATACTTATAGGGTATTCTGGGGTTCTAAGTATATACCATAATGATACTTGGACCCTTTGGGATCGGACCCCAGGATATGAAGGCATTCGACATGCAAGATGTTCGCAACAAGCCGATGCCGACCGGATCTTCCAAGAAATTGGGAAGAGGATCGAAGAGGTGGACCACGCCATCCACGTACTCCTTCTTGCAGGCATGTCCTCTGCAACACTTCGGGAGATGTCGCGAAGAGGCTTCGACATTCGCGACGCAGGCTACGCCGAAATTGCCGTGCCCTGTGCGGCAATGGTGCCAGGAGGCCTATTGACTCTTTGGACACTCACAATCGAGATTATGAACGAGAACGGCTTGTTTCCAGCTTGGACTGTATTGCTTCTGACTCGGATCGCGATTCTTGTTGTCTTATGGTTTAGCCCTAGGGACGAGAGGTGTTTCATCTTGAAGATGATGGCAAAAGTTCTCGCCCTCTACTTTGGCCTTGCTTGCCCACTGCTTCTGGTGTGGCAGTACTTTGATGGCGCAAGCCGCTTTGAACTATCATAACCTAGGCAGTTTCTTGGGTTCTTATCATAAAATCCTACTAGAGAGCTTTTGGGGACCTTACGGCCTATCATAGAGTCCTAATAGAGAGCTCCCAACAGGGACCTGAGAAGAAGGGAAGTAGGCTTTGGTGGTCCAAGGTCCATCCTGCACGGCACCTCCATCATGGACGGCCTTGGCCTTGACGGTCTATTTGTTCATCCTCGGGCTCGCTAGCCTCTTGGCATCTGTCCAAATACAGGGGCCTTAATAATTACCTAAACTGTTTTGGGGGCTCCTTATATATATATACATATACATATATACTTATAGTATAGTGCCCAAAACCCTATTCTAGTTGTTAAGGCCCCTACAATAGGTAGTATTAGGGAGACCCTTTTAAGGGGGCCCTTCTTAACCCGGCCCGACCTCTGGCTCTCTTGAAATGGGCCTTAACGGCCTCTTGATATAGTGGCCTTAGTATGTGTTTCTTAGTCTTCGTTCCTATACAGCCCAGGAGAAAGTAAACATAGTATTTGCATCATGGTTCTGGGGACGGGTGTATTTTTGGCTAGACGTCATCTACAAGCCAGAGCGCCGGAAGGATTCCAAAAAGTAGATCCCCTAATTTGGGACCCTATGCTGCTAGAGGGCATGGCACAGTAGAAGCCTAAAAGTTGAAAACCCAATAGCCCCAATCCTTAAGAGTCCTGCACAGGGAATCCCAGCAATATTTGGCCTTAGTCCGGTTTCCAACTTTATGGAGCTTACTGTATACCAGAAATCATATTCGGAGGAGTCTGGTTACCATGTCTCGTCACCCTAAACCCCTAAACCCTACAACTTCTTTGCTATAAGTGTAGTACCATATTAAAGTTATCAAGACCGAAAACCCTTCAAACATCAACCTACAAGCCGCACAACCCCTAAACCCTACACCCTAAACCCTAAACTTTAAGCCCATACTAGAATCCTACAACTTCCTTGCTATAATAAGTATAGTGCCCTATTCTCTTTATGAAGGCCCCTACATTAATCAATCCTACACAAAACTAAACTTCTACTCCCCCAAAACCCTAAACCCTGAGCTCCAAAAAAAACCCTGTGAACCCGAAACCCTCACCCTCTTATCGTATCCTTTATAGTAACCCCTACCTGTAGCCGAAAAGACCTACGTTTTTAAGGTACTACATATAGAAACCATAATAAGGAACCCTAAAAAGGTAGGTCTTGTCGGCTACAGGTATATATACATATATCATACCCTTTATAGGATGTCCTGCAAGGCCTGGGCATGCGCCGGCTCGCTGATCTTCCCTTCTGCGGGCCCTGCCTGCTGCAACTGGGTTCTAGTTAAGGAACTTAGTTGAAGCTATTGTTTAGGGCTTAGGGTCTTTTGGGGGTTTAGGGTTAAGGAACTTAGTTGAAGCTACCATAACAGGGATCTATCAGGGTTTAGGGTTGTGGGGTTTCGGGGTAGAGGGCTCCTTTAGCATTTACCTTACCGTTGGTTAGTAGGGAAAGGAAGAAAGAGGTACAATTATTACTACTAGTACTGCCATTCTTCCATTCCCTACTAATCAACGGTTCTAGTTTAGGAACTTAGTTGAAGCTACCATAACCGGGATCTATCAGGGTTTGGGGTTTTGGGATCAAGGACTCCTTTACGGGATCTACAGGGATTCCTTTTAAGGGGATCTATAGGGTTCGTTCCTTTAAAGGGATCTATAAGGGCACCTTTAAGGGGATATATAGGGTTTAGGGTTTAAGCTTTGAAGAGCCCAGGCAACTCATCCTCGCTCGAGGCCGCCGTGTCTTCTCTGGCCTCCCGATCGCACGTGGGGGTTTTACAAGGGAACTCCAGAAAGTTGGAATATGGTTTCAGGGTAGGATACCCTATAATTTACCATAAAGGGTTCAGGATAATCATATTCCAACTTTCTGGCGTTTACCATAGGATTTGGGCTTTAAGGTAGGTTTTAGGCTTAAGGGTTTAGGGTTTAGGGTTTTAGGGTTTAGAGTTGTAGGGCTCAGGGTTTAGGTAGGGTATTTTAGGATTCAGGGTTTAGGGCTTAGGGTATTGGAGTATAGGGTTTAGGGGTATATGGATTTAGGGGTTTAGGGCTTGGTGGGCCCAGAAGCATCGCAGCTACTTAAAGGATCATGGGACTTAGTAGCTTGGGTTATAGTTATTGTTCTGGCAACTACACTTATGCTCATACCTATAATACCTATAACCATACTTACTAAATCCAATGATCCTCCGAGTAGGGTTTTATAGGTTTATATAGGGTCTAGGGGTATAGGGATTTAAAAATTCGGGGCCTGGTGGGTCCAGAAGGAATCTACCGGAAAGTATGGCCTAACCAGCAAACTTGACGAGCAGCACTTCGGTCACCAGCTTTAGTACTGAAAAGTCACTCCTTTTGTAGTCTTCATGGTTGGCACATGGATGCTCGCAGACGAACGGATGGCCTGGGCGAAATTCAATGAGCATGTGTCTTGGGACAAAGGGTGGTCCACATGCAAGAGCAAGAGGTCCTACTTTCGGAAACGTCGAAAATATGAAACCGTGCAGAAAGCATCGGGAACCTTCAAAAAACGCCTATGCTTGCTGTTGAACAGGCGGATAAGGAAAGCTGTCGGACTGAAGAAGAAGCCCTTTCGTGCAACCCTTAGGGTTTAGGGTTTAGCGGTTAGAGTTGCTACTTGGAAGGGCAGGGGGACTTAGTAAGTAGGTTATAAGTAGAGTTATAATTGGGGTAATACCATTTAGGGTACTTATAACTCTACTTATAACCTACTTACTAAGTCCCCTGCCCTTCCAAGTAAGGGGTTTTCAGGTGCCATCCAACCGGACTCCCAGTTCGCGAGTGACACGGACCCGTCCGACTCTTCTGACGACTCGTCGCGCTAGGAGGTAGCAAGGCGAACTTGCCTCAAAAGGCTGTGTTGAGCATTGCAGCGATACATTTCTGGGTAGTAAAGTAGGTACCTTTTGGGGTACTGTACTTCCATTATTCTCCCTATTTGTCATAGTGACACAAAAGCTAGTTTTAGTGCCTTTACGATGCTGGAGAAGCTTGGGCGTGAGGCAACCGGGTTCAGAGACTCCAAACGCTCAACCCTTGCCACCAAGAGCCACCGACTCCAGGTAGTGGGCTTTGCCTTCTATCTGAAACTGTAAAGGGAACTCCAGAAAGTTGGAATATGGTTTCAGGGTAGGATACCTTATAATTTACCATAAAGGGTTTAGGATAATCATATTCCAACTTTCTGGTTTTACTTTAGGTAGAACAGGGTTCCAGTAGAGTCCGAGTGCAAATATGTTGGAACCTCAACAATCAGTAAGCGCTTTGACCCTAAACCGTACACACGGTTCACTTCGCCTGCAGAGCTCATGCACAGTACCGCAAGGCTCTTCAGAGGAGGGGTTGCTAAGTTGGCCGTGGGGTTGTACTGACAGCAAACACATCCGCATACACATAAGTGTAAACACATATAGACCTACGTACGTACACACGTATGCACAAAACATATACATGCACATGCGCCTGCACATATACGTACATGCACCATTACACATAACATGTACACAAATGCATACATGGTGCAGCGCTGCTAGGCCCCCCCTCCCCCGGCCACCCTATGGTATCCCCCCCCCCCCTGTGGTTCTCTGTGGTGTGGGTCCCTCCCCCCTCCCCCTGTGGTTGCGGTCGGCTGCGCCCCCTTCATGGCTATTGCTGGTCAGGCGTCCGGCTGCTAAGGGTTTGGACCTTAGGATGTAATACAGTTCCACTGGACCCTGAGATCCAAAAGCCAACGATAGTGATGAATATTTTGGTGATGATGATGACGAAGATGGTGGTCATGATCCCCATCCGCACTCTCCTCCCGTCCCTGGCTCAAGAGTCCCGAATGAAAATCATTCAAAAACGTGCTCAAGCTTACTTTTAACGAACCCAACGGCAACTTGGCTTGGAATGACAACGGTCGGTACAGTTTTCGCAACAACATCACAAGCCAAGCAGGATTTTCAACTAATTAAAGCGATGAGCATGTGGCGCCGAAGCCCAGAGCAACACCAAAGGTACCACCAACAGCCACACTTGGAATAGCACATCAACGTCATTGTGCCACAACATCATCGCCATCATCCTCATCTGCGTGTCGACGGAGAGGGGAAGGGGAAGGGGCCCGGTGGTTCCCAGTGTGGTTCTATGTATTGTGGGTTATCCCTCCCGCTCCCCGCGTTCGCTAAGGTGAGAGGCCTGGATTGGGGGGGGGGGTGCATACCAGGGGAAAGGGGCTACGGCACCATATATGCATATGTGCATATATACAAACACACACATGCATATATATATATATATATATGTGTGTGTGTGTATGCCTTTTTAAGAATACATGAGCATAGGTATTTGTTTTTACCCGTGTAAATATCTACAAGACCTGCTTACATGTTTCCTTTCTTTTTATTCGTACGTTCCCCCCCCGGCCCCCCTGGCCCGGTCCTCCAGCCTGGCTCGAAATCCACAAGGCTTTACCCTGCAGATTCACCACAACCGGGGACCTGTGCCTTTCTATTCTGAACCGGGAAACATTCGGCTGTAAGCGGCCTTTCAGATTTTCGTCGGTTTGGGGACTTGGCAGGTTTAGAGATCAGTCGGTTTAACATTTCAGCTTATGTTGGAATTGATGTTAAGAACGGTCATTGCTGTGCCCGAAAACCCTCAACCCCAAGCTCAAACCCTGAACCCTAATATAGGAGCCTTACCTACACTGTTTGCTGTTTTTTAGAAATATCGTATAATGAGCCCCAAGACCCGACTCTAATCAACAAGGCCCCTACATCAACCCTAAACCCTGGGGTTCGCTTCAGGGCATCCGCTCAAGCACGAGACCCTCGAACCGTAGTGTTTCGGCACAAACTCTTGCGTGAGAATTATAACGAGGGATTTTGTATCTCAGGCTGTGAATGCAAATCCCATGTATTTCGCACTCTTGAATGACAAGTCCGTTGCGCCGAATCTTTCTCGCTGGATGATAGAAAGTGTGAGCATTACAATGGAGTATCTAGATCTTTGCTTTTGCGCCGCATCTATCTGGCGGCAGTCGCGCACGCACTCGTTGCCCGGATAGGTCATGACTCTCGGCCCTATAGAAATACTATAAAGCCTATAATGGCCTATAGATTCACATCGCCATATGTCCTCGTCTACTGTGGCCGTGCGTTCATCACGGACGTACACGACCATCGAGGCTACAGCCTTGCACGAGTCCGTTCCCCCGGATCGCTGGTGCATCACTCGTTCGGACTTAAAGCACCTGGGCCAGGAGGTGGGGTTTTCCGCAAATAGGAGTACCTTAATCAGAGGGCCTGTTTACAAGGATCCTATTTTGCAGGGTTCTGTATGGACCCAAATTGTCGTGACACTCCCAGGTGCGAACTGCTATCCAGCGTGGGGACATCCGGCCACCGGATGATGGAAGCGACGATTTCCAGTCCTCTGACACGACCTATGGCCCAAGCATCTACACGGTGAACAAGCAGCACATCATGCCAGTGACGGAGATGTTTGGCAAAGTGAGCTGGGCTTTGCTGCAACATCGGGATGGTTTGGACTGTGATCTCTTCATCAGCCATGCCTGGCAGGAGGGTATTTTCGAGTTCCTTTCGAAGGTCCTGCTTTCGTGGCCTGCCGATGCGCGACACGCCTGGTGCTGTATGCTGGCCAACCCTCAGAATTTGGACATCGGTTCCCTGCTGCAGTCTCCAAGCAGCTCACCGTTTGCACTGGCACTCAAAGCCTCGACGTACGTTCTTGTGGTGCCAAATCACCGCTGCAGCATCTACACGAGGCCCAACCACAGGACTAGTACAAACAACTGAAGTGTTAGTGTATAATACCACTGCTTAGGCTTCCCCAGTCTAGGCTCTAGGCTTACTCCTATAACTTACAACAAAGCCCTAAAGCCGTATTCAATAAGACTCGTGTTAAGTTCAGGATTAGGTTTTCGGGTTATTCTAACATACCCTGAGAAAACTGTACTCAGTAAGGAAGGAGTACGGCTTCCTCGCATCTAAAATTGAGTTCGTGCAGCCGAGGGGCAGCGTCGCTTCGACCATCTCCCCTGATAACTTCCCGAGGCTAAATGACAGTCTGGCGTTCAAAGTCCCACCTACATGCATGTCACTGTAAGTTTTCAACACACTACCACCATACATGATGGAATGAGGCCGGACTCTTGTTAGTGGCTTTCGGCTTGCGCAAATGAGAGAGGCTTTGGTGTGGATACGAAGCCTTTCGCGCTCACGAGGAAGGCACGACCAGGGAGTCCGGGTAGTTCTGCGGACAGGGGCTGTTTCAGCGAGCTACGGGCTGTTGCAGCTAGTAGCGTCATTTTCAGAAATCGTAGGGCTGCCTTTTCGCAGAGAGCTGTTCAGGTCCTGGGTCCGTAACATCTGGAAAGCCTAAGTGACTAGCAAAAACTTGTTCTTTCGGGTTCCCGCAACCACGAAGCCCCATTCCAATTGTTCAGGCCCCTACACTATAGCACCCTTTTCGATCCCTTATAGTAACCCTAATAGACCCCTGTAAAGGAACCCCATTCTAATTATTCAAGCCCAAACAGCACCAGAAGTTGTCGCATGTTTGGCTACGACTTGAGGCAAGACCATCTTCGTCGCTCGTGCTCCAACGGGCAAACAGATGATGGTCGTCGTTCTTTGGACGACACTTGCAGGACAGATGGGAGTGTGTCTTATCAGGGTCGAACATGTTCCCTTGTAGTCCCTGTCTATAGAACTATAGCAGAATGAGAATCCCATATCTCCGTTCTAAACATGAAGGCCCTATGCCCTATACTAATGCCTTAAGTTAAAGGAACCCCTTTTCTAAGTTTTAGTAGCACGGCCCCTACATGAAGCCTCGTTTCGCAAGAGCAGCTTTTTGGACGGAGCAACCTTTCGGATCGTCAACTCCTTGGCCGTACCTTGAACCTTTTCTATGACTTGCATTTATAAGTTCAACTGAAAAGGTTTGTACTTTAGGATCCAGGTAAACCCTAGAAAGCCCGAATGGGGCTTTCGAGTTTATGGTTTAGGGTGTAGGGTTAAGGGTTTAGGGTGTAGGGTTTGGGGTATAGTAGGAGAGTACAAGCAGCTAAATCTTGCAAAGCACATTAGGCCCAAAACCCCTGAACACTGGTAAATTGAATGGCACAGGTCCGTTACGCTGACCCACAGCACATACTAGTGTTGCATGCCTCCTTAGTAATAGGTCACTGGCTAATGTATGGTAAGGAACCTACTGTTTTGGCAATTGAAGCCTCACAGGGTCAAGGCATGTGCCAACAGTACACCTGATCATGTATGCACAACATTTACCTGTGCGAGTGCGTCTGGGAAAGGACTGCTGGGCTTCTTGCTGGGCATCTTCTTTTGGCGATTTCATGGGTTCATGTGCTGAACAGTTTAGCCGTGAGCATTTTCGCGTTCTTTCAATATACTTTTGGTAATCTAGAGCCACAGAAAGCCTGTCCCTGCTTCGCTTGGTTCGTGAAAGGGTTCAAAATGCCAGTTAGAATCGTGAGAAGCCACCACCCAGGCTGTACCTGCTCCTGCTTATGCTGACCGTCGCAGTATTTAGCAGCGTCTGCATTGAAAACCAGACGGGGCGGAGGATCCTCAACTGGACGCTTGCCTGGGCAGAATTGCTGGATTTAGGTTTAGGTGTTTAGGGTTTATAGGGTTTTTAGGGTCAGGGTTTAGGGAATTTAGGTAGGATTTAGGGTTTTAGGGTTTAGGACTTGTTTTTTCCGTCCTACGCCGCTAACTGTGCTCCAGATGAATGGCTGGCATTTGCGTTCCATGTCGTCGTGGTTGTCGTCCCTGCCATTGCTGCTGATGCTGCA